CTCAGGTGCCACCCCTGCAGCTCCCATTGGCTGTGGTTCCCAGCCAATGGGAGCTGCGGGGGCAGTGCTTGAGGCAGGTGCAGCACCCCCTGGCTGCCCCCTATGCATAGCAGCAGGAGGGGGGACATGCTGCTGCTGCTTCTGGGAGCCGCGCAGAGCGGGCCAAGCCCCCGACCCTGCTCCCTGGCGGAATCTCAAGGGCCGGATTAAAAAGTCTGGAGAGCCGGATGTGGCCCCTGGGCCATAGTTTGCCCACCCCTGATCTAGACCATATTTCATACGATATTTCATAATCTATAAATGAATCTCAGAACATTCCTAAAGCAGTGATCCGAGATTATCCTTTAATCCACTAACTGCTACTGAACATTAGAGGTTCATTTAGGTAGAACTAGGGATGTAAATATCTGTTTAAAAAGTTAACTGTTTAAACTATTAAAATATCGTTTAAACAGTTAACCAATTAAAGGGAGGGGCTAGGGCCTCTGTGGCTGGGGTTGCTCCAGCTGGCTGGTGCAGCTAAGGCTGGGGTTGGCGGGCCAGTGCAGGGCTGGGACCGCTCCAGCTGGCCAGTGTGCGGGGTCGGGGTCGGCATGGCTGGGGCTGCTCCAGCTGGCCGGTGCGTGGCGCTGGGGTCGACTGGCGTGGCATTGGCCAGCCTGGCACAAGGCAGGTGCCGGCAGACCAGCGCAGGGCTGGAGTTGGCAGGTTGGTCGGCCGGCGTGGGGCTGAGGTCAGCAGGCTAATCAGGTGGCCTGGGGCTGGGGTTAGCTGGTCGGCCAAGGGCTAATGGTTAGGGTCGGTTAACTGGTAAGACTAATGCTTACTATTTAACCGTTTAGTATTTCACATTACTTGATAGAACATATCTGTTGTCATGTCCATCACTATTTCAGCAGAATGACAGAAGAGCAAAAATAGTTCAAAACCACTGCATTTCCCATATCAAACCAAAATCAGGTACATCAAAATAATTAAATGGTAGTAATTAAAAGAAATCATACTAGAGACCTCAGCACTGGCAGATGTTTTGTTGACACACACATTTTTATATCTATTTGAAAGTACATATTTGCATGATCATAAAATCCCAAGTCTGCAAACTTAAATTAGTGAGACCAAACACATCTTGTTTAGTGAGGTTTTTTTTAATTGCTTTCCCTTTCGTTTGAAACCATAATAAAACTCTCTTAGAGGTAGGAGCTCAAGCTATTTTTGCAGATTAACTGATAACAATGAAAGAGGAAGCATTATTCTATTCTATTCAGGTTCTCATACCTTTCTCATCATCTTAATATCTGAGCTCTTTACAGTGATGTGATTAATCTCTCTCTCATCCTCTTCCCCAGAGAAGTACTATGTGTGCAGAGTACTGTTTGTTGTTTTTTTGTTTAGTTGGGGAGGGGTTGTTTGTTTTAAGCGCTCATGATGCTATGTGTTTGTGAGAGAAAGCAAGGTCAAACATTTGTGATGGTCCTTAGTTCCTGTTGAAGTCTGTTCCACAATAGCTTTGAACTCATGTATTTTTCTTTGTTATAAAACTCACTGTATTTAAGGGTTGTTTTTTTAGAATCAGGGGTTTATTGGTGAAATATAAACTAATAGCAACGGGGTAGTCAGTGAAAGAAAAGAAATGCAGACTGATACAGTCAAACACAGTCAAGTTAAATGTGTTGAACTAGATATTGGAAAGAAACACAATGATGTCTGTCGCCTGCATTTTAACAAAATAGAACACAGATATTAAAACAGAGGGCTGCATCTTCATTTAAGCAGCCAAGAACATGTACTTCTATCTGCAGCAGCAAAGGAAATTGGGCTCAGAAGCAGCATTCTATTCACAGGACTGTGCTGCTGAGGACAAAGGGAAATACAAAAATCAAATAACTTGGACACAGACCAAAAAACCCAAACACCCACTTTAGATTGGATTCTTGAGTATTTACAAAAGGATTTTTAAAGTAACAAAAAGTTCACCTAAACTAAGCTACAATTTATTGAACAAGTGGCACAGACTATCCACTGCTAGTCTACTTGCAGTGAGTTAATACAGGGGATACAATGTGAACTAAGCTAACTCATTATAATCTTCTTATTTACATGCATACAAAACAATGGCAATAGTCTTTATTACAGAAGTATTTATTCTGTATAAACTTAAAACTATGTTTAATTATAATAGCAACATACAATTTAGCATCATTCCAAAGATGAATGCTTTACTAAATCTTCTCTTTTCTCTGTCAGTCTGGACTCTGAAGGTATCACTGACTTGAGTGTCTTGTTAATTTAACTTTTCCACTTTTTGGCAAAAATATGAGCACAGTAGCAAAGCTACTAGAGATGACTGTTTAAAGATTTCCGAAAACAATGCTGTACACATTCTATCTAGGTTCTTATACTGGACCAATTAGGGAGGAATCTGAGTATTTTCACACTGAGAACATTTTCTTTGAGCTAGAAACTCTTTTAAAAAGTCTAATCTCTTAAAAATAGCTGCTTTATATCCTCCATACCTGAAACCAATGTGTTGCACTACTGCAAATGGGGTAGCTTTCTTTCTCCTCTGTGTATGGAGTATATCACACCACATTTTTGATCCATTAACTGTTTTTTGCTTGCCTTCAGATATCAGTGTGACAATGCTAATGTCTATAATGGTTTATTATATTGCTGAGTCTACCGTTGATCTTCATGCCAATGTTATTTTTGGGTGCAGCTCAGATGGAAAATCCCCATCCAGAACAGAAGCCAAAGTCAATTTGACTCTTTTGTTACTAAAAGGAAAAAGATCTGTCTACTACATAGCTCAGTTCTGGCTTCTTTACAAATGTTGATCAAACATTCTTGTACTATAATACTCCCTCAGTTGCCTTAAAAATTGATCCGGACCAGTTACTTGCTGATAACAGTTTTATCATTTCCTTCTATCAGCTCACTCACTATAACCATAGCAACTGAACAAAGCTGTCCATGCAGCCATTTCTAATATGGCCACCATCATGTTATGCAGGCACCAAAATGTTAAAATTCAAAATATAGTTACTAAGTAAGTGGATCCTGAATTCATGAATGTTTCTGATTTTCTTTTTGCAACATTCCTAGGTGTTCAGATGGGCCTAGTTAGTTTACACTGAATTTTTGCAAAAGGATCAACAACAAAATCCAGAATTCTACTGGGCACTTTTTACCAATCAAATTTTTTTCCTTCCTGGGCACTCAGATGCTGCTCCCTTAGGAAATGAGATAACATGTTAAAGGAATGACAATCTTTCCACACAGGATATTTTTTAAATCTATTTTTGTTTTACTTTACAGTCTGTTATATATTTCCAGACATTCATTATCCTGAGATTGCTCTCAAATGTTTTTACTATATAGATTTTGTCTTTAAACGTTAATTTAAAAAGTAAAAGTAAAGTTTTTTCTGTATTTAACAGCTATTTCCCTTATTTTGTTTTTTAGATACTTCTGAAAATTGCAACTATAGTTTTTAAGTGACACAGAAACAAATGGAGTTGTGCTCTTAGGTCACTTAGATGATTTTGAAAATTGTAGCCTGTATAAAGGGCACCAGGCTTTGGGGTGTATGCATGCATTCCAGTGTGTCTGTTACAACTCTTTGGCCATTTAAAACATGGAGCTGTAGCTGCAGGCAAATGGCTAGTACAAGCATGTAACCTATAAGAAACCAGGTTTAAGACTTCTTTCCTCTAGGGCTGGGGCAGCAAACAGGAAGAACCCTGAGTCAGGGAAGTCCTAGAGGTGTGTGTCTCCATTAGTAGTCATTCCAGACCAGTGCTTAATTTATAATAAAAGAGGTGCCAGGGCTCAGGCAATTTTTTAACTTTCAGAACTGCCAGAAGTGCTGGGGCTATGAACTGCCAAGCCTAGAGCCCTAGCAAAAATTAAGCACTGTTCCTGGCTACTAACAGGAATGGGGTATACGCTCTCCCTTCCCAGCTGGCTGGATGGTACACAATATTATAAATTAATTTGCTTTTGTTTGAAAATAAACCCAGCCTTGAAGAAAGGGTCTTCGACTGCATGGTTGTTGGGAACTTTATTCTACCTTACCCAGCCACTGAGTTTGCCCTCTAGCTTACGCACCTTAAAGCAACTAACTCTTAAATTTCTGACCTGTCACATCTCAGAAGGACACTTCACCACAAGACAGAATCCAGAGGGGAGTCTTCAAACAAGGACATGCTTAACGGGACTCAGTCTCCCCGGGCACACAAATCCCATGCTTAAGGGCAAGGGACTTTCCCATGTGCTTCCAAGTGATCTTACCTGCTACTCTGCCTTTCCTGAACTATCCCCCTAAATATGACTGCATCTGCATTTGCAGTGAATACCTTTCTCCTACCTGACTTGGATACTGTGAATTCTTTTTGCCAGGTGGTGGAACAATACCATGCTCCATATTTTAAACCTACACTATACTTTACACTATGCATCCCTTCACAACACTATTAAATCCAAATCACCAGCATGCATGCAAGTCTGAACATACTAGAAGTATTTTCTTCCTTTATAATTACACTTCTACCACTATTTAGTCTTCTGTAATTCCAAGTATCCTTTATACTGAATAAGACTAAAAATTATGGTTATGATTTAAAAGATAGATTGCATAATCTGCCATGTTTTGTATATTGCATAAAGAAAACATGCGGGCAGCCAAGATCAATAAATTAATATACTGTATAAACAGCACACACAATATGGTTTGCCAAGGAATAAATGAAGTAAAAGAGGTCAAGAACCTCGTGAAACCAAAAGAAACCCAGGTTTGTGCAAGCTCACTACTGGACATTAAACCTTCCATAGGCAAAGGTGAAAATATGTGGTTTTTAGGAAGACAGTTACACGTAATACTTGGCAGAAGCATGTCTAGTACATGCAAGGAAAAAAATGTTCCACATTCAAATAATTCCAGAAGACAAAGACGACAAGCACAATTATTTTCTGAATGCATACTGTTTATTTTAAAACAGGACCGTGGAGAGACTGTCTACAGGCATTAGAAGATGGCCATGACACCAGTTCCATCTATCTTGTGAAACCTGAAAATACAAATCGACTTATGCAGGTCTGGTGTGACCAACGACATGACCCTGGTGGCTGGACTGTCATTCAGAGACGACTCGATGGATCAGTCAACTTTTTCAGGAACTGGGATACTTACAAGGTTAGGACAAATGTAACTTGTTTTCTCCTTCCTGTCTTAATGGAAGATTTAGAGTTAAGAGCTTAGTAGGACTGAAAAAATAATTAGACGTGAATAATGAGACCATCCACAGCTATGTTAGATAGGATACAACTACTTTTATAAGGAGTATACACTTATCAGGTTATAAACCAACCACTAACTGATAGGGTGGCAAGAAACTTTCCATTAGACAGATTATTCCATGAGTGTCCACTACATGATCTCTTGTACCTTCCTCTGAAAAATTTTGTAGTGGTGTCAAGTGCTGAAACATACTTAGGGCAAAGGTGAAGTTGCACTGGAATTTCAAAATATGCCCATGTAGTCATTATCAAGGTGCCATGGTTAAGGATGTATTGAGATTTAAAAGTAAAACATATATGCAACAGTAATCCATTTGTCACTATTTCTTCACAGCAAGGATTTGGTAACATAGATGGAGAGTACTGGCTGGGTTTAGAAAATATTTATTGGCTTACAAATCAAGGCAACTACAAACTGCTTGTAACTATGGAAGACTGGTCAGGTCGAAAAGTATTTGCTGAATATGCCAGTTTCAGATTGGAGCCAGAGAGTGAATATTACAAGTTGAGACTGGGTCGTTACAATGGCAACGCTGGGGATTCTTTCACTTGGCACAATGGGAAGCAGTTCACCACACTGGATAGAGACCATGACGTATACACAGGTATGAAGTGCTTAAAAAGAAAAAAAAACGAAGGAAAATGGCAAGTCATAGAATGACATGATAGAAAATTACATTTAAACATATAATTAAAAACATTTAGAAAGGCGAAAAACAAACCACTCTGATGATACACAAATTAATCCGGTAATCTAATGATTTTCATTGACAGATGACAAAGACTTTTTAGTTTAAATATTTGATGTTATTTTAAAAATTAAGGCCAGGATCCTTGCAGGTGAATCTTGTACTAAAGTGGAGCTCCACTGAAGAGTCCACTTGCATAGTTTTGATTGCAGGATTGAGGACTGTAAAAGGAAGGTTTTGTGTGCCTTGCTGCTTACATCAACAGATTGATAGATTTAAAAATATCTAGACATTAAAACTGTTTTATGAAAGTTTTGCTAGTCTGCTCACTGCAAGATTTTCAGTTTCTATACTAATAACAGTCTGCTTTTCATTATAGGTAACTGTGCTCATTACCAGAAAGGAGGATGGTGGTACAATGCCTGTGCTCACTCAAACCTCAATGGAGTCTGGTATCGGGGAGGACACTATCGTAGTCGATACCAGGATGGTGTTTACTGGGCTGAATTCCGTGGTGGATCATATTCACTAAAGAAAGTTGTTATGATGATCAGGCCTAACCCCAACACGTTCCACTGAAAGAATTTTTTCCTCTTTTAATTTACTGTTTAAAACAGAACAATGAAATGGCAGTAATAGCTGCATGTGCTATCCGGAATACATCTTTATGGCAGCAAAGAATGTAAGATATTGTACATTTATTGCTACAATTTGAGGACTTGTATATTGTATTTTCAACATTCATTCTAGCAAAAGATACAATGTAAGTGATATAATAAACTTTCAGAACATCTTTCTTTGTACCACAAATAATTAAGGTTCTTGTTTCTAGAACTGGGATTTGACATGGACTGTAGATAACACTTCCGGGTTTTATTCCCTGTAAATTATGTCTAGATGCTAAAAATACTGCCACAGCATCTAAATATTTTGTATTATGTATAAATATTCTCAAATACAGTACAATCTGTACAGCAAGAGTTTTATTCTTATTAGTAGGGATCATTTGACACAGGAAATCACATCCTTTGAAACCATGTAGTTGGTATATGTACTGTAGGGTATTAGTGGGATTATTCCTAATTTAATTTTTATTAATTGTTATAGATAAAACAATCACTAAATCATTTCAGTTTGTGGGCAGACACCCAAATAGTTACCGTAATAATTAATCCAGTCTGTCACTCTCACTCCTCTTGATGTACATGCCATCATTCTCAAAGCTGACCTCTGATACAAACATTTTTGATCAAGAAAGGAAAATGAGTGTTTTAAAATTGAACTGCCTGCATGTATTTATAAACTAATCCAAACTTATAATGGCTATTGCATATTATATAGCCAACATGAATAACGTTAATTTTCATATAAAACAATAGCCTAAATATTTAACATTATTTTATACTGAGCTACGTCATTACCTGCTGTGTAGCCACTGTAATCAGAAAATGGCTACAAATTAAAGGGGCTATCCAACTTTGCAGGCAAATGATGGATACCGATCTATATTCTATTTAACGTCCTTAGCCACAAGATTAAGATTCTTGGAAGAAAATATTTGTAACCAAGAACAATTATATTTGTCATATTTCACAATTATTAATGAGTACATTGTGTGTCAACATATTAAAGAGAATTAGTCACTCATATTTATAACTAAAATCAATTGTGGAAACTTGGAGAATTTTAGAATTCTGCTGAGGTAGATATGTAGAATAGATAATTGTTGCAAATTAGAAACTACAGTGAAAACCATAAAATTTAGTGAAAGAATGTCTGAGAAAAACAAAAAAAGCTCTTGGCAATTTGGCATACCTTACAATAAGCCTGTGAGATTTTTTTTTTTTTTTTACCATGTGCATATTATACTTTCTTCCCTTATTACCTCATTATTTCTTTACAAATGTATGATGTGCATTAAAAACTGGTGATGCCTGATGTAGCATGTGTTGTATATAAATGAAAGTAGGGTTTTTAATATATTATCAGATTATCCTTGTAATATTGCAAATTGGTAATAAAGCAACAAATGCTATTTTGATGTATTTAGATTCATTCTAATATTTCAGTTCAGGCTAACTTTCAAAGTACAGGAAATGATTTAACCCCACACAAGTCTACCATTGTTAATTTAAATCAAATCAATTCTGACTTCTAACTCTACACCATTAATGATTTGATTTTTCCATGAAATGAATTGTCTACACATTTCAAGATCTACCAAAGCAGCTTCCTGCTGAGACAAGTACTGCACACCTCCTACCATCTCAGTCAAAGGGGAGAATATCTTCTGGATCAGCTGGTAGGGCTGCTTCCTGTGGTCCACAAGGCTCATGATTCATGTCTTAGTTGCAGTAGTGCTCAAGATGCATACTCAACTAGTCCAGCTACCGGATGGGGGAACCTGGTTAATTTGTTAACTGCTAAACAGGGACTCTGTTAATTGTTTCTATCTGCTCTAGTTTCTGGACATTGGTACCCTAAGGGATTGAGACCATGACAAAATCAAAAGTTGTATTTCTACGAAAACTTTTGATCCTATTCAGCTGGAAAACAATTCACAGCATTTTCACATTGAAGTTTGTATTCTAAAGAACAGTTACTTACCTTACAGTAACTGTGGTTCTTCTAAAGAATGTGTGTCAATATGGATCCCACTGTAGGTGACTGGCAAGCAGAGTCCTCCCTGGATGGTGGAAGTGAGGAGTATCAGCTGAATCAGTCAAACTAAGATTGACATACTGCTCACCTGAACATGGCACCAAATTTGGCAGCCACGTCATAGGCACAATGTTTCACAAATGTCAGGGGGTTACTCCACATTGCAACCTTGCAGATCTCAGAGACTGGAATGTTTCTGAAGCAGGCAATAGATGCAGCCTGTGCTCTGGAACAATGTGCCTTGATATTCAAAGGGGTAGGTTAACCAGCCAGCTGATGGCAGATTGAAATGTACTGTATGATTCACTTGGGAAAATCTCTGCAAAGAGATGGCTTGGCCTTTGGTTGGACCAGAAGTGGCCACAAAGGGGTGAGGAGACCACTGAAATGGCTTGGTCCTATTAAGATAATACAGCAAAGCTCTGGATAAGTCAGGATAGGCAGTTTCTTCTCTCTGGGTATCAAGTGTGGCTTCAGGAAGAAGACTGGCAAGGTTCAAGTGAAAGTCTGTCTCTGAGGTTGTCTTGAACTTGGGGTGTGGTCTCAACACTACCTTTTCTGTATGTTCAAAGGTGGTCCTACCATGAGAGCCTAGAGCTTGCTGAGTCTGAGCTGACACAATGGCCACCAGAAAGACAGTCTTGATGACGAGGTGGTGTATGGAACATTCTGGTAGTGGCTCAACGAGAGGCTCCATGAACTTCCTGAGGACAACATTAACATCCCCTGAGGAAGCTGGGTCTATTCCTCCAGGGTGTGAAGGAGGCCCTTAAAGGAATTTAAATACCATTAGATGTGAAAAGAAAGCGTGTAACTGCATCCATGCATAACATACTGATACTGCTGCAATATGAACCTCTCCTGGGGTTTGGGAGCACCAAAGATGGTGCTCTACAGACTGAATCCAATGTGCCCCTTGACCATCCTGTCAAATCTGCTGATGAGTCCTAGGAGCAAGATGGGTTGCTGATGAGAAGAAAGGCTGATGTCGCCTTTTGTATCTCACACACTTCTTGGCATGATACTCAGTGTGTCTGGGAGGGTAGGGTGGAGTGCATGGTCCCTGCTGTGACTGAGGACAGTAGTACTGGAGGTATGATGTGGAGGTGTAAATCCCCAAGGCAAGTAGGGTAGCTTCTGAGACCTTCAGCAAGTGAAGAGTGCGGTTAGTCAGTCCACTTTGTGAACAGCTCTGGTCTTCTAAGGGAAGTCCTTGATAGTGGCCGGTACTTCTCCTGGGATGCCTGATGCTTGGAGCCATGATACCTGCTGCATGGTCATGACGGTGGCCATACATCTGGCCATGGTGTCTGAGGCATACATTGATACAGTAAGCCTCTCTTAATTATGTCTTTAGGCTGCTCTCTCTTGTCATGAGGGAGCTCTGCTAGGAAGGGAGTCTATCACGGAGTGGCTGGCCCCTTTAAGGGGAATCAGGGCCCAGTCTACCTGTGCAGGTTTCTATAAAAACAAACATCTCAGCCCTGCCTGTGCCATAATTAGCCAACTCCTGTCTGGAGGGGATGGAGTCAGGTGATCACCTAATGATCATAAAAAAGGATGATGAAACTCAGAGAGAGGAATAACTGGGAGCAGGTTGAGCTCCTGGGAAGGCCCTGAGGCAGGGTCTGCAGAAATCAGGAAACTCCAGTGAGAGGGATTCCAGGGAAAGTAGCATGGGAGTCAGTGCTCTACAATGGAGCAAAGAAAGAACTGAAAAATTAGCCCAGAAGGCAGGCTGGAGAGTAGCCCAAGAAGGGTGGAAGAACTTTTTGTTTGGACTTTCAGTTGGACTTTTGTTTTCCCAGGAGTTAAATTTGCATAGTGACTTGGTTGGAGGGCCAAGCCATATCACCAATTCTGAGCTGTGCGGGAAAGGGGAGCCACTAGAGGAAGAAACTGAGGCAGGGACTGTCTGCTGAACCATGTTTAACCAGAAGGTGGCACAATGGGATAGTCCATGAGAGAGGCACTCTGTCCTAATTGAGAAAGTCATGCTTAGTTAGTGGCAATTAGCCACATATATTTGCAATGAAGCTAAAGTGCATGGACCAGAAGTGGACAGGATGTCACATAGCCTGTGGGACTTCTCTGTAGTGATCACTGTTTTGATCTCTCATGTCTTGGTACTCCTCACAAGCAGCTCTTGAAACACTTTATAGTCATCCAGTGCCAGCCCCATAGATTCATAGATATTTAGGTCAGAAGGGACCATTATGATCATCTAGTCTGACCTCCTGCACAATGCAGGCCACAGAATTTCACCCACCACTCCTGCAAAAAAAACCTCACACCTATATCTGTGCAATTGAAGTCCTCAAATGCGAAGGACATCACTTTGTCCAGTGACGAAATAGAGAGATCCTTTGGTGGTGAGATGAGGCATTGTGTTGCTCTGCCCATCGATCTAGCTCCTCTCCTGTTCAGGGACGCAGGTGAGGAGAGAGACCTCTGCCTCAGTGATGGAGACTGGCTTCTCAATGCCTGTGATGGCGTGCCGTTCCCAGAAGCTGGGAATGAGTGACAGGAAATGAATCACTTGATGATTACCTGTTCTGTTTATTCTTTCTGGTACACCTGGCACTGGCTACTGTTGGAAGACAGGATACTGGGCTAGATCATTGGTTCCCAAACTGGGGCATGCGCCCCCCTGGGGAGGCGTGAAGAAATTCCAAGGGGAGGCATGAGGCTGCCAGGCCCTTGAGCTTGTGGCCGGGGAGGCTAGCCCCCGGCCCCTCCCCTCCTGTCCACCCTCCCCCACAGCCATGCTGCCACACAGGCAGCACCACTTGCGCCCACCCACCTCCCAGGCTTTCCAATAAGCTAATCCTGCCGCTCTGAGCGGCCTGGTAAGGGGGCAGGGGGGGCTGGATAAGGGGCAGGAGGTGACGGGGGGGCAGTCAGGGGACAGGGAGGAGTTGGATGGAGTGGAGGTTCTGGGGGGGTGGTCAGGAGACAGGGAGCGGATAGGCGTGGGAGTCCTGGGGGGTCTGTCAGGGGGCGGGGTGTGAATAGGGGTTGGGGCAGTCAGGAAACAGGCAGCGGGGGCGGTTGGATAGGGGGTGTTGTCCCGTGGGGGGGTGGTCAGGGGACAAGGATCAGGGCGGGGGTCAGATGATGGTAAAGAGAGGTGGGGGGTGTGAGGGTTTCTCAAAAATTAAAAAGGGGGCGTGATGCCGAAAAGTTTGGGAACCACTGGGCTAGACAGACCTTTGGTCTGACCCAGTATGGCCTGTTCCTATGTTCTTATCTCAGAGAGCCAGCTCTACAGCTCCTCCCTTTAGTAGGTTTCTTTCACTTCTCCCCAGACCTAGATTACCTCTTCACCCACCGCACTAGTCTGCCCCTCTTCAGTTGTTACAGCCAATATATATAAGCAGCTGCACCTGTGCCAGCCAATCAACTGCTTTCCAATCGGGCGCTCCTTGTAGCAGACGTTACTCTCCTGCTTCTTTAAAATGGTGCCTTCAAACTGGGCTCAAGATCAGAACTTTGTGGACTTGATTATTATTATGGCTGTCAAGCGAATAAAAAAATTAATCGCGTTTAATCATGCAATTAATTGTGCTGCTAAAATATTTATTTTAAATATTTTTGGATGTTTAAATAGATTAATATCAATTGCAACACAGAATACAATGTGTACAGTGCTCACTTTATATATATTTTTGATTACAAATATTTGCACTGTAAAAAACAAAAAAATTATTTTTCAATTCACCTCATACAAGTACTGTAGTGCAATCTCTTTATCATGAAAGTTGAACTTACAAATGTAAATTATGTACAAAAAAACCTGCATTCAAAAATAAAAGAATGTAAAACTTTAGAGCGGGGGCTGCGGGAAGCGGCGTAGGCCGAGGGATGTGCTGACCGCCCTTCCCGCAGCCCCATTGGCCTGGGATGGTGAACCACGGCCAGTAGGAGCTGCAATTGGCCGAACCTGTGGACACAGCAGGTAAACAAACTGGCCCAGCCCGCCAGGGGCTTTCCCTGGCAGGCCGCATGCCAAAGGTTGCCAATCCCTGCTTTAGAGCCTACAAGTCCACTCATTCCTACTTCTTGGTCAGTCAATCACTCAGACAAACAAGGTTGGTTACAATTTGCAGGAGATAATGCTGCCTGCTTCTTGTTTACAGTGTCACCTGAAACTGAGAACAGGCGTTTGCATGGCATTGTTGTAGCTGGAGTTGCAAGATATTTATGTGCAAGATGTGCGAAAGTTTCATATGTCCCTTCATGCTTCAACCACCATTCCAAAAGACATGCTTCCATGCTGATGATGGGTTCTGATTGATAACGATCCAAAGCAGCGTGGACTGAAGCATGTTCATTTTCATCATCTGAGTCAGATGCCACCAGCAGAAGGCTGAT